ACTCGATCCCGGGACTCCAGGATCATGACCTGAGCTGAAGGCAGTCGCTTAACCAACTGAGCCACCCAGGCGCCCTGGCTCTAACATTCTTGTTTCTACCTGACAACAGGGCTTCCAAAGCACTAAATACAACCCTCTATTTTTTTTTTAATTTTTATTTAAATTCAATTAGCCAACATATAGTACATCATTAGTTTTAGATGTAGTGTTCAATAATTCATCAGTTGCGTGTAACACCCAGTGCTCATCACCTCACATGCCCTCCCTAATGCCCATCGCCCTGTTACTCCATCCCTCTCTTTTAAAAGCAAGCAATTGAAGTCTCCACCGCTTTTCAAGGAGCTGAAAGGGGAGAGGGCCATTTTCCAGACATGGAAATACATCAGTGTGCCCTGTAGTAACAGGAAATAGGAGAAAGCAACAGGTCCACAATATCCAGTGATTTATAATGTAACCCGGAGACCAGCTTTGCTTTGGTGCAGTCTGAGACTGCACCAGAACTCCCCAGGCGCGTGTGAGCACCTCCCTTCCTGGGCACCATACTCTCTGGTGCTCCCGATGCCCTGCAGCCCAGGAATCAGAGAAGTTCTACACGGGGCTCCTCCTTGATTCCTACAACTGGGAAAGCAACTGTCAAGGACCGTCCCGTCTGAAGACCTCCTGCCTGTCCCAGCTCAAATTCCCACCACAAGGGAAAATGAGCACAGAAAAAACTCAGTCCTTGACATGTTCTGGTTTTTCTAAGAGAAGAAAGTGAACCCGGGAGGAGGAGAAGGAGAGCCCTGGGGCGGGGCGGGGGGGCGGGGCGGGGCAGGGCACGCAGGTTAGGAGCCTGGCTCTGGAGTCGAGAACCTGGGCCTGGGTCAAACTGGGCTCATCTTCGCTTTGTGTCCTCGGGCAAGTCTCAGAACCTCTGGAGTCCCAGCGTCCTCATTCATAAAACAGGAACAATGATATGAATATCAGTCATCTTATAGGTTTGTTGTATTAATGAGATTCAAGAGCACATCTGAAACCCAGAAAGCCTGGGACAGCAAAGTACTCAACTGATGAAAGCCACTAGATTATTAGCTATTATGAATCTGGCTTTAAAAGCAAGTAGAGTGGTACTTTTTTAAGATGCCATGAAGAATTTCCCTACTTCCCAAAACAAATCGTTTCAGGGATACACTGCCCCAAATTTCATAATCGGAGATAAATAATTTTGAATTCCATTTTTTATATTGATAGGTTAGGTTTTTAGAACTCTTGCTGAAAACAATGAGAAAGTGCTGGATGACATCAATATAATAACTTCATCTTGAAAGCACTGAAGAAACGACTAAATAATGAAACATACTAGGCCCAACGCTGGGGTAAATCCCGAACCTACAGAGGGAAGGGGGAATTCCCACAAGCCAAGCCACCTCTGCCTTGAGGGAACTTGCTCACCCAGGAAATGTGGGGTTCAAAAGTTCAAAAGTCAAGGTCCAATTGGCATAAGGACAGATCTACAGATCAATGGAATAGAACTGAGAGCACAGAAATAAACACATACACCTACAGATAACTGATTTTGGACAAGGTTGCCAAGACAATTCAACAGGGAAAGAACAATTTTTTCAACAGACGGTGCTGGTACAATGGGATATCTATATGCAAAAGAATAAAAATAGACCCCCTACCTCATGCCATTTACACCAGGTACAAAAATCAACTCAAACTGGGTCAAATCCTCCATATACGAGCTAAAACTACAAAATTCTTAGAAGAAAACAGGTGTAAATTGTCATGATCTCGGACAAGGCAATCGTTTCACAGATAGGACACCAAAAGTACAAGCAACAAAAGAGAAAAACAGATAAATGGGTCTTCATCAAAATCTTTGTGCTTCAAAGAACAGCTTCAAGACAGTAGAAAGACAGGGGAGCCTGGGTGGCTCAGTCGTTAAGCATCTGCCTTCGGCTCGGGTCATGATCCCAGGGTCCTGGGATCGAGCCCCACATCGGGCTCCCTGCTCTGAGGGGACCCTGCTTCTCCCTCTCCCC